CGTTTTGTTCTTTTAATCTTTTCATCCTCTAAAAAGTTATTCCTAAAATTGTAACTATGTGAGGTGATGGATGTGTAAACTAATCTTACTGTAGTAATTATTTTGCAATATGTACATATATCAAATCATTACATTGTATGCCTTAAATTTATACAATGTTACATGTCATTTATAACTCAATAAAAGTGGAAAAAATTAAAAGATCTGTTCATATTAACAAGTCCATTACTTAGCAAAATAAAATTGGACTCTCTTAATGGATTCCTCATACACAAAAATATAAAAAAAATTTTTTTAAATTTAAGTTATTTCTAGCATAAGGTTATCCTGAGGTTGATCAGTTAAGAATATATTTTGTTGTGTTTTTTTTTTTTTAAGATTTTATCTATTTGCTAGAGAAAGAGAGAGAGCACAAGTAGGCAGAGCGGCAGGCAGAGGGAGAGGAGAAGCAGGCTCCCCACTGAGCAGAGAGCCCGATGCGGGGCTGGATCCCAGGACTCCGAGATCATGATCTGAGCTGAAGGCAGACGCTTAACTGGCTGAGCCACCCAGCCATTCCAAGAATGTTTTGTTAAAAATTTTTGGAAGGCTTTTGCTAAGACAATTATGTATATACTGAAATTATTGACAGGTAATTTAATGTGATAAGGAAATTAAGGAATAGAGGATATTTAATGTATTTCTTTTACATGAATTTTTGAGTATATTAATTTCAATTGTTATAAAAGTGGAAATTAGATCTTTAGTTTTCTTCAGTGTTTGCAAATCCCTTGTATTTCTTTTCTTCTTTTCCTTTTTTTATTTTTTAAATGTCATCAGTTATCATTAAATAAAAATAGACTAAGTTGAATGTTACAGGCTACGTTTTGGTAATTTTTTTTAATCTTACCTTTGAACAATATGGTTTTCTTGGAAAGATTTTTCACTGTATTTTTATCAAGGTATAATTACATACAGCAAATTTTATTATATATTTCTACCTATTTTAACAAATGTATATTATTGTGTAAACACCACCACAAGCAAAATGTACAAGTTTCGTCATGCCAAAAAATTCTCCCATACTCATTTGTATTCAGTCCCTCCCTCACCCCTGAGCACTGATCTATTTTCTGTCCCTATAATCTTGTCTTTGCAAGAATATTCTAAAAATGGAGTAACACAGTCTTTTGAACTTGGGATATTAGAGAACCATCCAAGTTGTTGTGTGTACCCTAGTTCATTCCTTTTTATTTCTGGGTAGTATTCCCCTATATGGATGTGTCACAGATTGTTAATTCATTTCTCAATTGAGGGATGTTGGAGTTGTTTGCAGTGTTTGATGATTACTAAGAAACTGCTGTAAAGATTTGTTTTTCAAGTTTGTGAGTGAACATAGCTTTCTTTTATTATTATTATTATTATGTTCAGTTAGCCAGCATATAGTACATCAGTAGTTTTTGATGTGGTGTTCAACGATTCATTAGTTGAGTATAACACCCAGTGCTCATCACAAGACATACCCTCCTTAATACCCATCACCCAGTTACCCCATCCCCCCCTCTTCCCTTCTATAGCCTTCAGTTTGGTTCCCGGAGCCCAGAGTCTCTCATGGTTTGTCTCCCTCTCTGATTTCTTCCCATTCAGTTTTCCCTCCTTTCCCCTGTGGTCCTCCACGCTATTCCTTATGTTCCACATATGAGTGAAACCATATGATAATTGACTTTCTCTGCTTGACTTATTTCACTTAGCATAATCCCCTCCAGTTCCATCCATGTTCATGAAAATGGTGGGTATTCATTCTTTCTGATGTCTGAGTAATATTCCATTGTATATATGCACCACATCTTCTTTATTCATTCATCTGTTGAAGGGCATCTCAGCTCCTTCCACAGTTTGGCTATTGTGGGCATTGCAGCTATGAACATTAGGATGCGTGTGCTCCTTCTTTTCACTACTTCTGTATCTTTGGGGTAAATACCTAGTAGTGCAATTGCTGGGTCATGAACATAGCCCATACCTTGGGCAAATACCTAAGAGTGAGATCGTTGGATTGTATGGTATTCTTAATTTTATAAGAAACTGCCAAGCTGTTTTCCAAAGTGGTTGTACCATTTTGCATTCCCTCCAAAGTTTATTGAGTGTTGTTCTACATCCTTGCTAGTCCACGATTCTCTCTCTCTCTCTTTTCTTTAAGGCATTCCACTAAGTATGGAGTTGTATCTCATGGTGGTTTTAGTTTCATTACCCTAATGACTAATGATGTTGAGTATCTTTCTCTGTGCTTTTTGCCATTGATATATTTTCTTTGGTAAAGTATATGTTCAAATCTTTGGTTCATTTTTTAAATCCGTTATTTTTTATTGTTGGGTTTTGAGTTTCTTTGTAATTTTAGATACAAGTGCTTTATCAGATATGCGATTTGTAAAAATTTTCTCCCTGTCATGGCTTTCAAAGAGCAGACATTCTTAATTTAGATTAAGTCCAGTTTATTTATTTGTTCTTTCATTGTGCTTTTGGTTTGTATATAAGAAATCATTGCCTAACCGAAGGTCACAAAATCATCTTCCATTTTTTTGGTCAAATTTTAGAATTCTAGGTTTTATATTTATACATGTGATCCATTTTGAGAATTTATTGGTACAGTGTGTTTGGATAAAGGTTTTTGTTTTGTTTTACTTATTTGTTTGTTTTTTGCCTATGGGTATCCCGTTGTTCCAGCACTATTTATAGTTGGAAAGACTGTCCTTTCTCCACTGAATTGCCTTTTTGCCAACAGGCCCTATATATTTAGGACCATTTCTGGATTCTTTTTTTCATTCCATTCTTTTTCATGTTTATTCTTTCTCCAACACCGCTCTCTTGATTACTGTAGCTTTATACTAAGACTGGATGTGAATCTTCTAACTTAGAAGAAAGTGTGTATTCTGCTATTTTTTTGTGGTTTTCTCTTAATGTCAATTAGGTTAGCTTAGTTAATAATATTCATGTCTTCTGTACTTGGTAACAATTTGTCTACTTGTTCTGTCAATCACTGGGAGGGTGTGTTGAAGTCTCCAGTTGTATTTGTAGATTTGTCTTTTTCTCCTATTAGTTCTGTCAGTTTTGGTTCATGGACTTTGAAGTGCTATTGTTAGGTGCATACACATTTACATTTGCTATGTCATTCTGGGAAAGTGACCCCTTCATAATTAAGTAATGTCCATTTTTATACTCATTCTGAAGTCTGGTTGACATGTTATTGATATAGCTTTTTCTGCTCTCTTTTCATTAGAATTTGCATAGTATATCTCTTTTCTGTAATTTTATTTTTAGCCTTTATATTTAAATGGGCTTATTGTATACAGCATATAATTTGATCTTGATTTTTCAATCCAATCTGATGATCTCTATTTTTAATTAATGTGTTTATAAAAGTTTATATTTAATGTAATTACTACTGTGATCGGATTAAAATCCACCATACTTTTAGCTATTTTATTTTTTAGTCTTTTGTTTCTTCCTCCCTCACATTTCATTTTTGATTATTCCATTTTAGCTTCATTATTGATTTTTTTATTACTGCTTTTTCAAATTATTTTATTCATTGCCCTAGGTTATACAGTATACATCTTTAATTAATCAGTCTACTGTTAAATAATCTCATAATATTTAACATGTAGTATAAGAATCCAACATTATTTTCCCAATTTCTCCCCCCATTCTTTGTGCTATTATCATACATTTTACTTTTACATATGCTATAAACACAATGCATTGTCAATAGTTTTGTTCTAGATAGTTATCTTTGGGGCAACTAAAATAAAGTTGAATTTTGTATTTACCTCCATTTATTCCATTTCTAAAACTCTTTATTTCTTTGTGTATATGTTATGTCTTACCAAAGTTTTTAAAAATGCATTGAAATTTTTCTTCTCTATTAGCACAAACACCACCAGTCCCTGCCTTCTCCTGACTCTGTTAAAAATGGATTGTGAATAGGCAGCTAGGAATATGTTTGATTTTTAGAATTCTTTTGTGCTTACTTAGAATTTCAGAACCACAGGATTGAATGTGTCATAAGAGTCCTTTGGCCTAATTTTCAAAGTGTGACAGATTTACTTCAACTGATCTTATTTTAAGATTTATCTAAAGTTCTCTTTCTGAGGTTGTAACTTAAGCCTGCTTGGTCTATAGGCTTCTTTCTCTATTTCATTGTCCTGCTGTTGTGTGAGGAGAAGGAACATCAGGACCACACTGTCTGCTTTTTAATGTTCTCCTTTTAGTAACCTCACACATGTATGAAGACAGTTACTGAGCCCCTTCTTGCCATTCCCCTTTACAGGTAAAAAACATTCTGTACTTCTTTGAGTTTTTTTATAGAAAGATAGATCTACTTTTCCTCTATATGTCTTTAACCACTTCTATAATATTTTCTCCTGCATATCTCACATAATTATTTTTGATAGGGCCTATGTAAATAAATGGTAGCAGTGTTCACCAAGATGAAAGAGCCAGAATCTCTGTGGGGCTCATGTTGGCACTGGGAGAATGCCAGGGCACCAAATGAATTGGTGTAAATTTACAGGGTCCCCCATTCCTTTGCCAAGTAGTGCTCACTGTCCTGACCCTTACAGCCCCATGCTGAACTTAAACCCTCTCCCTGAAGCCGTATGGCTAATTTTACTCCAGACACATACCTTTAGGAAAGCTCAGGGACTCTGAAATTTGGTGGATGTCGTCCAAAAGCTGTGTTCACCTGAGGACGCAGGTTATTCTAGAGCCTACTGAATGGAGCAGCCCTGGGCATGTTACTTGTATAGGAATGGGCCAGGAGGAAAAGAACAGACTGGAAAACCTAGAACTTTTCTGAGCAAACTGTATTCAGTTGTGAGAAAAAAAAATATAATTGGGCTGGTCCTATAGTAGAACTTATAAACATTTGTCAGTTATGAGGGTAACTGCAAGACTTATTTTCAAGCTTTCCCCTTGATTTCAGGTCCAGAGCATAACATTTTCTTTTTGTCTTTTTCCCCCTCAAGGGGTGCTACATCCATTGTGTACAGATGCAAACAGAAGGGGACCCAGAAGCCTTATGCTCTCAAAGTGTTAAAGAAAACAGTAAGTTTATTTCATTATATAACAGCATCTCTAAGGGATCTGTGACCTGGAGAAGCCAGGAGCCCTGATTCATAGGACAAAGAGGCCAGAGAAATGCTGTGTGCAGCTAACTCACTTAAATCCTGAGTATGAGCGTACAGCCAAATGGGTTGTTTTCTGATGGAAACTGCGTGACTCTTTGAAAGCGACTGGATCTCAGGCTGGATGTGGTTGTGGGGAGAAGTGTGGTAAGGAGAAACCTTTAGAGCTGGCAGGTCAACCTGGTATACTTTGTATACCAGTCATGTTTTCAGCTATATATGTGTACAGGTATAGAATCTCCAATCACAGTTTAATTTACTAAAAATGCTTGCTGTTTAAAAAAATACCTAAATGAAACACAAATGGCTGTATTTGTGAAAGGAGTCATCAGCTTCTAACTTGATTTTCAAATGTTGGGTTTGCTTCAGTGAAGTGCAACTGACAAATGCTGTTGTTTCTAGGACTGAGCCTGCTCATTTAAGAAGTCTCTGTTTGGACAGGGAAAGAAACAACAAATGTTGGAGAGGTTGTGGAGAAAGGGGAACCCTCTTACACTGTTGGTGGGAATGCAAGTTGGTACAGCCACT